AGTTCAGCTGTTGCTGATGGGTGAGTAAAGGGTTGTGGTTTGGAGTTGTTTGGAGGAAAATTATTGGTTTGGGGACATTGTTATTTAAATGTACTTTGATAACTTTCCTTGGTATTTTGGAGAAAATACATGCATTTTGACATAGAAATAGCTATTAGGATATTCTTTATAGATTTAAGATTGCTTATGTCATAGTGAAAGTTTATAGAACTTACAGTGCTTTCCTGTAAACTGGAATGAACATTTTATTTTTGTTCTTTCTTTTTTTTTTTTTTTGAGACAGAGTCTCACTATGTCACCCTGGGTAGAGAGCTGTGGCATCATAGCTCACAGCAACCTCAGACTTTTGGGCTTAGTGATTCTCTTGCCTCAGCCTCCCCAGTCATTGAGACTACAGGTGCCCCCCACAATGTCTGACTGGTTTTTTGTTGTTGTTGTTGTTGCAGTTGTCATTGTTTTAGCTGGCCCAGGCCAGGTTTGAACCCACCAGCCTCAGTGTATGGTCAGTGCCCTACCCACTGAGTTCCAGGGACCACCCCCTTTATATCAGTTTTAATTAGAAAATTAATAGTTACTTGTTTCACTGTTAAGACTTCTAACTAACCCAGTTGAAATCTGTATTTAAAGAGAGGATATATGAGGAAATATTCTGATAGAAAGATTGAATAGTGTATTCTTATTCAGACTAAGTGAAGACATGGGCATCTTCTGTGGTTTTTGCACTTGTAGTTGGCACTTTGACATGGTATCTTGTCCCACAAGTCTTTAAGGTAGATATGGTGCTATTTGTGAATGAGAACCAATATTGGTAGGTGAAGTGGTTTGCAAAGCTTTCACACCTAAGTCTGTCTCTGTACTCACACGGATAAAATACATCAAAGCAATAACATGATTACATCAAGAAGTCTGCTTTGTTTACATAGGCAAACAATTTTACTATTTTATCATATACACTTCTAGTGTTTCATGCAAATTCAAACACTCTTGGGGACTCTCTGACACAAAAGGTAGTGTACTGTAATTTGTAGTTCTGTCTTCTATGTATTTCATTTGATAATGGGTCTTGGGTACTTTTCATGCAGTTTAGAGAGAGTGTCCTAATTTTTTTTTAGTAGTCTGTATTCCATTGGGTCACATGCCATAATTTACTTAGCTACTTCTCCATGAAGGAACCCTTGGGTTGTTTCCAGTCTTTTCCTCTTATAAGAATTGCTGCAGTAAATAACCTTATATGTGTATCATTTCATACACAGATTATTTAATTTTTGTCTATGGTTTTATGTGGCTATTTTTAAAATCTGTTATTTTCCATGTTACAGTACAGTAGTATGAATAACTTATTTTATAAATAAAAATTTAAAACTAAGGCTAAATAATTTCCTTAGGATTAGAGTTGGTCAGGCCTGTATGATAATTTAAATGCTCCATGGCTTTTTACTTCTTCTTAGGTAGCCTATATGACTCGCTCATCTGAGCTTAAGAACAAAAACATTTTTATGTCAGACTTTGGTCTTTGCTGTTGACATTTTAAGTTTTCCAATATTCTTGGAAGTAAAAAATGAGAAAGAATAACCTTTGTAGAAACAAATTTAAAAATAATTGACAACTAGGGGTGGTGCCTGTGACTCAAGGAGTAGGGCACCAGCCCCATATGCTGGAGGTGGCAGGTTCAAACCTGGCCCCGGCCAAAAACTGCAACAGCAACAACAACAAAAAGACAATTATTTGCAGATTGAAGTTTGAGTTTAAATACGAAAAATAAAACATGTTTTGTTGTAATAAAAAAATTCAATACTGTCTCTGTGCTCCTCCCTTCTGCTTTTCATCAGTGAAGGAATATGGGCAGTTTTATATTTTGCCTTCTAGATATTTAAAATATGTACAGGTATTTTATTTGTATGTAGTTTAAAATGTAAGATTTTACTCTGCATGGTGTATTAACTTATGCTATATTAAGAAATAAGGCTTATGGGCAGTGCCTGTGGTTCAAGGAGTAGGGCCTGCCCCATATACTGGTGGTGGTGGGTTCAACCCTGGTCCCAGCCAAAAACTGCAAAAAAAAAAAAAAGAAATAAGGCTTCAAGCCTTATCCAAAAATGATAGGCTTTGAAATAGTATTATTTGTTTCAGAAATGCGTTGCTCCTTTGAAATGCTGACTTTGTTCGCCAGTATTTTCAGGATACAATCACATGTCCCTCACATACCTTGTTGGATTACTTCTGGTGTATCAAGATGGCCAGTTTGTGTGGCCTATTTAATAGTTGCATTTATAGCAGACTCTGTCTTTTAATTTTTTCCCTGTCTTCCTTATTCATCTTTCACATTACCTTGTTGAAAAGCTAGGTAATATTTTCAAAGGAAGGGAGAAATGGAGGTTTACCTACCCCATCTCTTTTTTGTTACAGTGCTAGTGCTAGAATTTTTTTAGACTTTCAAAATTTTAATTTTTGTTTGTTATGAAAATTACACACATGGCATCCTCCTTGAAAGTCAAAACAATAATAATAAAATAATATTCTAACTTGACTTTCATTCAAACTCTATTCCATTTCTAGAAATGAGAAACTAATAATTTGGTACAAGTCCTATCAGGCCTTTTCCCCTGCTTTTTACTTGATAGAAGTAAAAATCTGCTTTTCACTAAGCAGTATGTCATTGAGATCTTTTTTCATCATCACTTTTAGCTCTATTTCGGTGGTTCTCAACCTTCCTAATACTGTAGCCCTTTAATACAGTTCCTGTGGGTCGCGACCCACAGGTTGAGAACCACTGCTCTATTTGCTTGATTTGGCTCTCTCTTCAAACTGTTCCATAGTGCTCTGTAGTATGACATTACTCTCTTACTACATTTTAGTTGGATATTTTTTTCATTATTAGAAACAGTGCCTCAATAAAATGCCTTAATAAAAATGAAGGTTCAGAGAAGTTGAATGACTTGCTCAAAGCTTTACAGATAATCTCTATTGGGAGCAGTTTGGGAAGACCTTGGGATCTGCCAGTGGATAAACTTTTTTATGTGTCACTTTTTTCACACATGGGGGTATTTATCTGTAATAGATATTTAGAGATCACAGAGTATGTGTATTTTAAATAAATATAATAATTACTAAATACAATAATAAATCTAAAGTAACTATAATGGTATCATGAGGTTGCATGTGAAGTTGTTTTTGAGTGTTAGCTGATTAGTGTCAGTGTATCCAAACATGTAAGCGTAGCTGAGTAGACGTAAGTCTTTTAGTTTTTTGTTTGAAGGTGAGAGTTAAGTGTATTGTTGTGCTTCATATCCTGGCAATTGTGCAGGCTAAATGCGAATTTGGAATGGGAGCAGTTAATCCCGTTTAGGATAGACAGAATGCTACCTCTCAGGATATAACTTCTGTGTTTTCAGCTTAAGAGAGAGCTTGTCTTTATACCTGCGTGTGCCCAGGGACTTAATGGCATGAAGGATAGCTAAAGATTTTAGAATGTGACTTGATTAATGGATGGCAATTATTATTTATTCTGTACATTTGTGATGTTTTCCTACTTTGGCCTTTCCATATTACTAAGGAAATGCTATGCAGTTTGATTAACCATATATCATTACTTGTCTTCTTAGTTCATTATATGAAATTGTCTCATGACGTACACAACTTGCTCCCCCTCCTTTAAATATAAAGCCTTAGAAAGTTGTTTAACTTCTTTGAGTTTCCTATATTAAGTTGAACACCAGTCATTTAGAGTCATATGCAAGTCCTTGGTATCCAACTCTTATTTGATTTTACAGTTTGGACATCTAGTGTTTAGAAAGTTTGGACATCAGAGGAGTTGTATTTTTACCTTAATGTGCTGTGGTCTAGTTCTGAGTTTTAGGAAGCCATTAGCGGTAGTTGGATAGCAAGGAATTTATTTGAAAACTTAATCAAAATTGACTCAGTTCCTGAGTTTAGATCGTGAAAATTTAGACATTGAGAATTTGGACAGTGAGGAACAATTGTACATAAATTTGTTTTGTATACACTGAAAAAAAATCAAAAGATTTTAGGGTTGCGTTCCCCAGCAGTGGTGAAGGTTCATGAGATTTGTAAAGGTGGTGAGGCTGATGATTTCCTTGTATGTGCTGGGAACAGGTCCAGAGTGAGCTGCAGCTGGTCAGGCTAGAACCTAGGACTAGATTAAAGAGTTCTTGAGGGAAGGGGACTGGTTCATCATCTCTATCTGTGGCACAGAATCTTGTGCCTAATAAGTTTACAGTAAGTAGTTAATGATTAAGGAACTTTCAGTTCCTTTGAAAGTTATTGTAAGTTGAGAAGGAAAGTTAAAGCTAAAATTTTATTCTTTTAAAAATAGTCCATGTAATATTTTATAATAAATATGTATAGTCTTTGAACTGAAGGTGAGACTAAAATTATGAAGGTGGGATTTTTACAACTAAAAGCTATAATTTCCCTACAGTTTAAATTTTGGCATAGATTTTATCTTATAAAGAAGTAAAAAGTTCCTATAATCTTTGTGGTGAGTGTAATTGTCAGTGAAAATGGTATACTGAAAACCGAATCTACTTATTTTTAATAATTTTATGTTTAATCATACTAATCCAATAGAGCTGAGTTAAATGTTTTCCTTTAATTAGAAGATCTAAGAGCCAAAAATTAAGAAGGACAGCTTTCCATACTGAGCTCTGAGGGTTCCCTTCATATCAGATTTACTTTAATTTCTGATCCCGGAAAGTCCTTCTGTTGAGGATGAAGTGACTGTATTATTAGTAATTTGCACAGAATGCCATTTAAAAATCTTTGTCATCATCAGTTCTTACTGTGGGATTTTTGAATGGTCGTCTGTGGATTAAAAAAGAAAGCCTATAAGCATATTTAAAAAAGAATGCAGTTAGCTGTAATAAAAATTCTTTGAGAGAAGGCAGTCAGTTGTATATATTTTTTGCCATTTCAGACAGTGCACATAGTAGGTCCTCAGTGTATTTTGATCTCATGAGTAAGTGAGAATAATTTGTTTTTAGGGTCCTGATGAAGAAGCTGTTGTGGATCTTGGCAAGACCAGCTCAACTGTGAACACCAAGTTTGAAAAGGAAGAACTAGAAAGTAAGTTTGTAACTTGTTATGCTTAGTAGGGTGAGTAACGGTTGTATAGTATTCTTCAAGTTTTACCTACTGTTTGTTGAAATATTCTTTTGTTGTGAAATAACATTTAGAAGAGTGTTCAACACTTTTCTGTATGTTTAAAGAATAATAGTGTAGTGAATACCCTGTGACCACCACTCTTATCTAGAAATGGAACATTCTCCTCTCTGTTGAAAGTGTTGACATAACATAGAGTTTAGAATGGTTTCAATTTCAGTGATGTTACCATTACTTGGAAAACTGAAAGGCCACAGTTACTAAATTAGTAAATTAGGAACTTCTTTTTATTTTTTTATTTCTAGCAGGCTGGGTAATTTGTATTATAAGCATGCTAGAGTGCCAGACATAAGCCACAGTTATCACTAGTTATCTAAATGTACATTTCATAGGTCTGTTTTATCATCCTTTTAAAATTTTGCAACAACCTCAGCACAGAATTATGGAGCAAATGAGTTATTTGTCCTCTTTCTTCTTTAAGTGGGAAAAAGGTCCTGACAAATTCTTTCTTTCTTTTTTTTCCTTTTCTTTTTAAATAATGTCAGATTTACAAACTACTGCAAAGATAGTACAAAGTGTTTTCATGTACACTCTCCCCAGGTTCTGGTAATGTTAGCATTTTACATAAGCTATCACATATTTGTGAAAATGAAGAAATTAACATTGTTAGTTAATAATTTAATCAGAATTTGGTTAATTACTAATTTACTATTATGTAAACCATAGATTTTATTCAGAATTCAGCAGTTTTTCTACTAGAATGCCTTTTGATGTTCCAGGATTCAGATGATCCCATGCAGAATCTAAAAGTACAGTTAGTTGTGTCTCCTTAGTCTCCTCTAGGCTCTACCAGTTTCTCTTTCTTTCTTTGTTGTTCATGACTTTGACATGTTTGGGAAGTAGCGGTGAGATATTTTGTACAGTGTTTCTCCGTTTGGATTTGTCTGATGTTATCACTTGAGTAGCCTGAGATTATGGATATTTGGGAAGCATATTGCAGAAGTGATGTTCCTTTGTCAGGTGTCCTGTGTGTGGACTTATGCTGTTTACATGACTTATTATTGATGACATTAACGTTGAACACTTTATAGGGTGGTGTTCATGGTAAATGCTTTGATAGACCTTTTGATAGACTATATCCTTAAGTTAAACTCTTCCGTCAGATCTACTATTATATAATCTGTTGCTTTTACGATGGAGATAGAAAGAAACATGTGAGTTCTCCTAATGTATATTCTGAGATTTTATTTTACTTAATTTTTTGGAGACAGAGTTTCATTTTGTTGCTCAGGCTAGAGTGCCCTTGTGTCAGCCTTGCTCACAGTGACCTCAAACTCCTGGGCTCAAGCAGTCTTCCTGCCTCTGCTCCCAAGTAGCTGGGACTACAGATACCTGCCACAACGCCTGGCTAATATTTTATATTTTTAGTAGAGCAGAGTCTTGCTCTTACTTAGACTGGTCTCAAACTCCTGAGCTCAAGTAATCCTCAAGCCTCCCAAGACTGCTAGTATTACAGGTTTGAGCCACCGTGCCTGCCTGAATTTTTTTTTTCTTTAGCTAAATTTAGAAGTTGACCTTAAAAGTCTAAGCCTAACTACGAGTTCTACAAAGGACCTGTTATTTAGAAACTTGTGGTTATATTTTATGAATTACAGAAGTTCAGGAGGTTAAAATTTTTAGCAGTAATTTTATTAATTTAAGAGTCTGGTGATATGTTTAATCCATTATTTACCCATTAACCCTCAAATATATACGACCTGGAAGATGAAGGGAGGGGTGCTTGAGTGTGTTCCTTGGCTTCCCTTGGTTACTCCAGGGCCCTTAGCTCTATATACTTTATACATAACTAACTTTTAGTATCAAGCATGAGGAAGAGATTAAGTTTTATCTCAGAGAGTTTGAATAGGCCTTTGATGGATCAAAGAAAGAAAACATTATATAATTTGTAACAGAGGACATTAAAGGCAACAATAAAAGCAGAAAAACAATAAGGCCTAATCTTCCAGTCTTTGGATTCTAGTATATTCTTATTTATCTAGTCTTTCTAAACTGCAAACTCATAGAATTTATTTTTATCTTGTCTCACTGGAGCTTGTTGTGCCAGGGCCCATTAGTACTAATTGGAGTAACAACTTTGTAATTCCCAGCGCACAGTGGTGGGAGTTTGGACTCTTCAATTTCCACCTTTCTTGGTGTTCAGAAGGAAATAGTTTCACTGAAAGAAAATTGTAAAATCACTGAGTTTTGTTACAGTTTTTAAGGAAAATTTTAACTGAGGTAATTTATGTAACATAAAAATCATCAATTTAAAGTGTATAATTAATTCTTTTTTAGTATATTCACTATGTTGTACAGCCATTGTTACTCTATAAGTCCTGAAACATATGTGTGATCTCCCAAAGAAACTTGGTATAATTAGTTTTTAATTTTGGAAGTTTTTCCCAGTAATTAAGATTTAATTATTATAGACATTGATCGAGTATTTACCACGTCCCAGGCAGAGTGGTGGCTACTGGGAGAGGTTTAAACAGATGATTTTAGTTTACTACGTTCCCATAAATCTAGCCCACTTTTAAATTAAAAAGGTGACTATTTACTTTGTTGATATTAATATATTGCCAGCTGAAACAAAATGTCAGAGTGTCACCTTTTTCGGCCTTAGCTGATAACACGAGTATCAGACAACGCTATAATTTTTTGTTGCTCTGTTCTTGTCTACAAATGGCCATGAAATAGCCATGAGTATTGATTTTGGGGTTATGAGTAAATTTTATTGAGTCACCAACTTTGCAGATACAGACTCCATGAAAAATAAGGTTTAACTGTACTTTCAAATCTAACCTAAGGGTCAAAAATCTGAGTTTCTTGAAGTATTTATCTTCTGACCATCTTAACGGAATTTGTTAGGAAAAGAATGTCATTAACTTCGTATTTCAGCATGTTAAATTTTTATTTGGTATGAAAGGGCAAAAATCAACTTGATGCTAGATGTTTTTTGTGTAGTTACCAATTAGTTGGCCTTGTAGTTGATGCGTGTCTTTCTTAACTGAGCTTAGATAGGAACCTCTTAATGTTTGCTGTAGTACTACTGTCTAGTTCCCTTATTCAGTTTCATTTAGTGGGCCAAAGCGGAGACTGCCTTTCATAACTGTTTTGTTGTCAGAATACAAAGTCAGGATAATGCAATATCAGCAGTAGCTTTTTCTAGTCTAAAAGCATACAATAACTTTACTCTATTGCTTTTTTAAATCCAATCTGACTGTTTCTGCCCTTTATCTGGATGATTTATGTTTAATGTAGCCCTCAGTAATTTTGAGCTTGCTGTTTTGAGGTTTTCAGAACTCAAACAATTAGTAAATAAATATTTGGTAGTGATTTCATGTGGACCAAGCTATTTTTTGGCCAGTTAATGCTTACATAAGTAACTTGTATGTCTAGTGTAATTACCAGTCAGTGGTATTGGCCATTGGCATAACATTCTTTGCAGTGCTTTGTAAAATAAGAAGGGTTACTACCATCTTTGGTTACGTGAACTTATATATAACTCTTTGTTATCAGAGTAAACTTCAGTGTACTTTTGTGTATGTCACTTTTTTTTTTCCTTTTGGAAAACCAGTAATATGTTTCTGAACCTTTCAATAGGTCACCGAGCTGTATATATTGGTGTTCATGTCCCATTTAGTAAAGAGAGTCGTCGACGTCATAGGCATCGTGGGCACAAACATCACCACCGGAGAAGAAAAGATAAAGAATCAGATAAAGAAGATGGACGAGAGTCGCCTTCTTATGGTAAGAGAAAACAGTAGTTCTCCACTAAAAGTTTGAACTTCTTTCCTGGAAAGTATCTTATTTTTTTAATTGAATCTTTCCTTTTAAAAATTGTGTCTACTAATTTAGACACATTGTATATGTTGGGAATATCAGTTGAAGTAAGAATTTAGTTCATAGGTTAAGTTCTTCTTGTTTTAAGTGAAAAAAATAAAGGGCTTTGTTTTCTTCACTGTATCCTAGTCTCAGAATTGTAGAAGTTGCGCTTTGTCACTCAAGCTCGAATGTAGCAGAGTTTTCTTTTCTTTTCTATATCATATATTTTATTACTAATGTATGCAGTGAATGGACATTGTGATCCTAAGGTTCTTGGAAGGGATTGGAATTTTTTTTTATTTTTATTTTTTGCACTACATTTTTTGGACAGAAGATTTTAACCACTAGGCTGGTCCATCTCAGCATTTTAAAAGCATAGGTATTATATTCATTTTATAATTTGGGAAACTTCAGCTCAGAGATGATGACACTCTCTTAACAATTTCTGCTAAGAGATAGTGATGGCCTATTAAATTATTAAGTGTTCATGTAGGTAGCAAAGGAAAAATGAACACTAAATTTAGAAAGAATCACTAGTAAACTTTTCTGGATGTTATTAAGTTACTTAGATGTATTCTGCTGTTTTATATATTGTACCCATCCAGTTTAGGATATGTTAGGCTCTTCTGTGATTGGATCAGTATGCGTCTCTAATTCATACTGCATAAAAAGGCACGTGATATTTTTGTGGAAGGAAATGTTTACTAAACTGTGTTTGCATGATCACCTAGATAGGTAATGTGATATGGGATTAGAAGTCTTAAGTGTAGTGGCTTAAAAAATAAGTTATGATGAAGAAAATATTTGACTTATTAATGAAATAACTATCCCTAGAAAAGATTCATGCCCCTGAAGTGGATTTATCTTGTATCCTAGAAGTGCTATGTATAAAGTCCCTTTTTTCCTCTCCTTACACTAAAACAAGATTACATAGGATGTTTTTTTAAGACATGATGGAATAAGAGGGGTTAGGTTTTCCCTTCACTTCTTTATTTTTTAATTTATTTTTATTTTTGAGTTATTTTCCCACTGATTTTTCTTTCCTCCTTTATTGAGGCATAATTAACAAAATTGTATTTAAGGTGGGCAGCATCCTGATTTGATGCTGTACATGGTGAAGCAGTTACCACAGTCAAGTTAATTAACACATTATGGGTAGTGAGAACACTTAAGGTGTACTTTTTAGCAAATTTCAAGTGTTCAGTAAAGTATTAGTAACCATAGTTATCATATTGTACATTAGATTCCCAGAATTTATTCATTTTATAACTGAAAGTTTGTAACTACCCTGCCATTTCACATAGCTAGAAAAATGGATAAAATATATGAAATAATAGTTTTCAGGCATTGGATAAAAGGTGGGTCAGGACTTTATTTCTGAGAAAGGAGAAGCAAATGAGCTTTCTAGAGACCCATTTCTAGGCCACAGCTCAGAGATGGGAACCCAAACAGAGCCTAGCAGTCACTCAGAGTTGAGGGGCACAGATTGGAATTTGGGGAGGCTAGAGCACTTGAGTAGTACCAATACCAAGTAATTACCAGTATTAATAAAATAAAAAAGAAAGATTGAAAATCAGTAATTTAAGTTTCTAACTTTTTTTTTTTTTTTTTTTTTGAGACAGAGCCTCAAGCTGTCCCCCTGGGCAGAGTGCCGTGGCATTACAGCTCACAGCAACCTCCAACTCCTGGGCTCAAGCGAGTCTCCTGCCTCCGCCTCCCAAGTAGCTGGGACCACAGGCGCCCGCCACAACGCCTGGCTATTTTTTGGTTGCAGCCGTCATTGTTGTTTGGCGGGTCCGGGCTGGGGATTCGAACCCGCCACCTTAGGTGTACGTGGCTGGCGCCTTAGCCGGTTGAGCTATAGGCGCCGAGCCATTAAGTTTCTAACTTAAGAAATTAATAAAAAAAAAAAAAAAAGCAAATTAAACCCAAAGTAAGGAGAAGAAAGGAAAACAGTCAAAATAGAAATGAATAAAAGAAAATAAATCAGAAAAATAATTGTAAAAATAAGACAAAATTTTTTTTTTGAAAAGATCATTAAAATTAATGTTTATAGCCAGGTTGATTGGGGTATAAAAACTCCACAAATTACCAGTATTAGATATTTCAGTACAGATCCTACAGTCATTAAAATGCCAATAAGGGGGCTTGGCACCTGTGGCTCAAGTTGCTAAGGCGCCAGCCACATACACCTAAGGTGGCAGGTTTGAATCTAGCCTGGGCCCGCCAAAAACAACAATGATGGCTGCAACCAAAAAATAGCCGGGCATTGTGACAGGCGCCTGTGGTCCCAGCTACCTGGGAGGCTGAGGCAGGAGACTAGCTTGAGCCCAGGAGTTGGAGGTTGCTGTGAGCTGTGATGCCATGGCACTCTACCCAACGGGATAGCTTGAGGCTCTGTCTCAAAAAAAAAAAAAAAAAAATGCCAATAAGGGGATATTATGAATGGCTTTATGCTAACAGAATTGATGTTTTAGATGAAATGGGCAAGGTCCTTTAGGAATATAAACTACCAAGCAGAAATGTATTAAAAGAAGGTATTACATTGAATTTGTAGTCTAAAACATTGTCACAGTGAAAATTTACTCTGAGGTGATTTCATGGATGAATTCAGGCAAATAAGTAGAGAAGAAATAGAAAATTTAATAGAGAACACTTCTCAATTCATTTTATGAAATCTAACACAATTAGACAGAGATGTTACATGTAAAGAAAACTACAATTATTCTTATGAATGTAGATTCAAAAATCCTTAACAAAATGAAAACCGGGCTCGGCACCTGTGGCTCAAGTGGCTGAGGTGCCAGCCACATACACCTAAGGTGGCGAGTTCGAATCCAGCCCAGGCCTGCCAAACAACAATAATGGCTGCAACCAAAAAATAGCCAGGCATTGTGGCGGGCGCCTGTGGTCCCAGCTACTTGGGAGGCTGAGGCAGGAGACTCGCTTGAGCCCAGGAGTTGGAGGTTGCTGTGAGCAGTGAAGCCATAGCACTCTACCCAGGGGGACAGCTTGAGGCTCTGTCTCAAAAAAAGAAAACCGTTCTTATCCTACAGTATTTAAAAGGGATAATACTATGTACAGCATGACAGTGGTAGGTTGAATAATGGCCCCCAAAATATTCTTGTCTTAATCCCTTGAACCTAAGAGACTTTGCAGATGTGAATAGGTTAATAATTTTAAAGTGGGAATTATGTAGGTAGGACTGATACAATCACAGGAGTCCTTAGTAAAAGGAGGTCAGAAAATAGACTGGAAAGAGATCTGACAAAAGAAACCATGTCTGTAGTGAAGTGAAGAACCGTGTCAGGGTCAGGATCTCAGGAATGTACGGAGCCTGCAAAGGCTAAGGAAGGGAGTGGATTTTCTCCTAGAGCCTCCAGAATGAACCAACCATATCAATACCATGATATGGTATTGTATGGCTCATACAATACCTGTATGGCTCATTTTGGACTTTTGGTATCTAGAACTGTACTTGTACCTCTCTATATTGACTGTTGAGCTAATTTTCACAGACTAGACTTGTACCATGTATCAGCAGTACAGTAGGCCTAGTTCCTTACATTTACCACCTTTATATGTTGACCAATTTTACGGTCCCATGGGTAGTCAGCTTATAGAGGTTCTGTTGTATTTCTTGCATCCACAAAATGCCTGCAGGATTGTTTTCTAAGTTGTACATTTTGAGCATAAATTCTCTCATATTCAGGAGAGTTATATTTTGTTTTTAATTGTGTTTGTTTATTTGCTTATACAAGGGCCCGAGGTCTTTTGACTGGCCTGGACTAGTATTTATGCTGATTTTCCTATTTGGGGATCCTATACTACACTAGAATTTTGGATCCCATGAGTAGGTTATTTGTTTCTTGAAATGACTTGCTTACCTCCCAAATCCCAGCTGACAAGAGTTTTGTTTCTCTATGATAATAGGAAAAGTCAGTTTCTATACATATAGCTTTGATTTTTTTGGAACTTGGAAATTCTCTTTTTGACAGCTTGGAGATTTTCATTTTTTTCACATTGAACTTAGCTTATATTTTAAATATTCTGTTTTGCCTAACATTTGCTTATGGTTTTGGTCAGGAAAAGGTACTGCTTTTCAGCATAGTTTTCCATGTTCTGGGAGGTTGCTTATTTTTATTTGTTTGTTTTAGGTCAGTTAGTTATAAATTTAGTTTGACTTGTTTATTTTATTTTAGTTTTTATTTTCTTGAGACAAAGTCTCACTCTGTTACTCTGGGTAGAGTGCTGTTATGTCATAGCTCACAGCAACATCAAACTCTTGGGCTCGAGATCTTCTTGCTTCAGCCTCCTGAGTAGCTGGACCTATAGGCACTCATGGTCTAGTTTTTCTATTTTTAGTAGAGCTAAGGTCTTGCTCTTGCTCAGGTTGGTCTGCGCTTAGGCAGTCCACCTGCCTCGGCCTCTCAGAGTGCTAGGATCATAGGCATTAGCCACTGTATCTGACCACAACTTATTTATTCTTAACATAATTTTTCTTTTTTCTCTGTAAAGGTGATCTTTTTTTGTGACTTTCCCCCTCTGGATTGTTGATTCTTGTTTCCTTTCAGAATTATAATATTTTTTATAATCATTAAAAGAGTTTTGATGAAATGTATTTGTTTATACAGGTAACAAAAAAGTGTTTCGCTTTCAAAACTGTGAATTTGTCTTTGAATGAGGAAAAATTTTGAGTATATTTAAATTTTTATTTTATAAAGATACACCCTCCCAGAGGGTTCAGTTTATCCTTGGTACTGAAGATGATGATGAAGAACATATTCCCCATGATCTCTTCACGGAAATGGATGAACTGTGTTACAGAGATGGAGAAGAATATGAATGGAAAGAAACTGCCAGGTAGTATTGCTCATTTTTTGGTGGGCTTTACTTGGTTTCTTTTTGTAATGAGAATATTAAATTGAAATTATGAGCTTCACCTGTGCTTTACACTAGTGAGCAGAGGACTGTGAATGTGTGGAAACTCTCTGAAATATTTCACTTTATTCTCAGATTTTTTTTTTTTTTTTTTTTTTTTTTTTTTTTTTTGAGACAGAGCCTCAAGCTGTCCCCCTGGGCAGAGTGCCGTGGCATTACAGCTCACAGCAACCTCCAACTCCTGGGCTCAAGCGAGTCTCCTGCCTCCGCCTCCCAAGTAGCTGGGACTACAGGCGCCCGCCACAGCGCCCGGCTATTTTTTGGTTGCAGCCGTCATTGTTGTTTGGCGGGTCCGGGCTGGGGATTCGAACCCGCCACCTTAGGTGTACGTGGCTGGCGCCTTAGCCGGTTGAGCTATAGGCGCCGAGCCTCAGATTTTTTTCTTTAAGTAGTCCTATACTTCAACATAATATAAAAGTGATTACATTACTGTAGATTTTAATAAGTCTTTACTTAAATTTGAAAATCAAAATCTTTGATTTGTTAAAAGAAGAGTAGAAGTGGAAGCTATAGGAAAGGCCATAGTTTTTTTGGAAGGCTTATTATTTATTATTGTGATAGTTAGAAAAGATTGAGGACCTACAGAGGAAACTTACAACGATAGCTATTGCAGATAATTAGCTTAATCTGTGAAAATACATTTGTAACAAAATTTCATTTTGGTGCTCATTTTCTTTCTTTCTTTTTTTTTTTTTTTTTTTGAAAAGAACAAGTTTTCATTTTATCATCAAGATAAGCAATGGAATCTTCATTATTTATCCAAAAAAATATTTTTATATATTATACATACAGATGGCTGAAATTTGAAGAGGATGTTGAAGATGGCGGTGACCGGTGGAGTAAACCTTATGTGGCAACACTCTCTCTGCATAGTCTTTTTGAACTAAGGAGCTGCATCCTAAATGGAACAGTCATGCTGGATATGAGAGCGAGCACTCTAGATGAAATAGCAGGTTATAGTAAATTGACTTTTTAAAAAATGTTTAAGGTGTTCTAAGATTAGAGACAAGGAAAGTAGAACTTAGGCATGTGTGTAACAGCTATATGTTGAGTTTGTCTTCTGTGCAGGGGAGTATGAGGAAGGGACATACAAATAAAGGAGACTTTTGGTCTTTGATAAGTTTGGAGACATGAAGCTTAAATGAAATAGACATAACTGTAGTATCAAGAAGAGAGTGCTTGGTGCTATAAGCAAATACAGAGTCTGTTCTCTGAAAATTCTGAGAAAAGAGTTTTTGTTTCATTGTTTTTTTTTGGACCAGGTATCTGTGGAAGATACAGAGAGGAAATTAATTGTACAACTTATTTGTAGAATGTAAACATGTGGGAGCAAGGAGCAGGTAGTACAAGAGAAAATAAAATGGGGCGGCACCTGTGGCTCAGTAGTAGGATCCCAGCCCCATGCACCAGGGGTGTCAGGTTTGAACCTGGCCCCAGCCAAACTGCAACAACAACAACAAAAATAGCCAGGCGTTGTGGTGGGCGCCTATAGTCCCAGCTACCCGGGAGGCTGAGGCAAGAGAATCGCCTAAGTCCAAGAGCTGGAGGTTGCTGTGAGCTGTGTCGCCATGGCACTTTACTGAGGGTGACAAAGTGAGACTCTGTCTCTAATATTAAAAAAAAAAATTAAAAAAAAGAGAGAAAATAAAATATTTTAAGGAGGATAAAAGCAGGAGGAAGTATGGGCATACCTTTTTTCTAGAGAAGTATAGGCAGGTATAAATCTCAGGAAAGTCAATTTCATGTGAGTATGTAGATTTATTCAATAGTAGTAAGAGATCTGTTGGGAAAACAGGTTAGAGATTGATTATGATTTACCTTGAATTTTGAGGTAAGAAATTGGATTTTGGCTGGCATTTTGGCAGTTTGGATGGTTTTAAAGTTGGTGGGGAAGTATCACGTGAGATCATCTGCAGGAATATCATCCAGGCAACAGAATGTAAGGTGCATTTGGAGATGGAAGAGATTAGAAGCAAGTAGATCAACTCTCTTGGAATTGTTTATGCAAGAAGTGATGTTGACCTAGGCTATTATAGATACAGTCTGAAAATGAAGGAGAGTGAGATTTGAGGGATAATGTGGAGGTAGGAAATGGAAAAAGATAGCCATGATAAATTTTTTTGTTCACTAATTAAAATTGCTCAAAAACAATCAAATTCAGTGGTAATGGATTCGATGATTGTGACTGTTGTACGTTGCTCTCATGGAAAAACAAAAAATCTGTAGTGTTTCATTTTTAAGAAAACCACGAACTTGTTAGAACTTCTCAGGTTAGAATCATTCAATTTTACCTAGTATATTTGACTGTGTGCTGCAGATATTTAAATTGTCAAAGTCCTTACTTAGCTGTCTTACATAAATGACTAAAAAATTGAGTGAAGCCTGCGAATATTGAATTTGGACACCTGAGTCTTTGCAGTTACCATGTAAATGTATAATCCAGTATTTGCTTTTTTGGTAACTGTAGTTGTTGTATTAATGTTATAGATTGATCACTCAGTTTTTTTAAATAGAGTAATCGTATTATAACTTTTGAAAATTTGATTCTGTTCTCTCAAGTTAGTACCACTGTTTTTAAAATATACATATTTTATGAATTAAAGAGTCCAGCAACCACAATAATATATAAAATGGCATTGCCATCAATTTCTACATTCCTCACCTCTCCCTCATAACCTGATTTATTTCTCTTCCTAGAACTTACTACCCATTGATAGTTGATCTATTTATTTGCTCATTGGTTTTTCTACCTCTAAAAGAAAGCAGAAACTTGCTCTGTTAACTGTATTTTCAACATATAACAGGCACTTAGTAAATAGTTAATGATTAAATGAGTGAGTCCAGATATTGACTACTGGAACAGGTTTGGGGAGAAATATGAGATGAGGCAATAGAACACTTATACATCTTAGAAAGCTGGTATAATTGAATAGTCAGTTTAATAGAATTTATTGCATCCATATGGGTAAGCTCTTTCAACTATAGGATGATAGTTAGTATAAGTAAACTTTTTGTAAATAATTGTATTTATTAAAAAAGGGTGTCCTTATTTTTGTCATATAAAGTTCGTATTTGTCCCTATGCGCTATTTACTATTAAAAGAGAGTAATACTTTCAAGAGCTATTTAAGATGATAATTTTTGTTAAGAGGTTTCACTTTGAGTTTATTTCCGTATTATGGTTATCTAAGTAATAACAATAACTTATTTTTTTTCCTTTGAATAGATATGGTATTAGATAACATGATAGCCTCTGGCCAGTTAGATGAATCCATCCGAGAGAACGTCCGAGAAGCTCTTCTGAAGCGGCATCATCATCAGAATGAGAAAAGATTCGCCAGTCGAATTCCCCTTGTTCGGTCTTTCGCAGATATAGGCAAGAAACATTCTGACCCTCACTTGCTTGAAAGGAATGGTGAGATAAGTTGCGGCATCCAATTTTGCTAACACTACTACTGTAACAGCATTCTAGTATGTTACAATTAACATTTGAGGATATTTCTTTATTTATTTTTGTTGTTGCAGTTTGGCTGGGGTTGGGTTGAACCCACCACCCTTGGTATATGGGGCCATATATATATATAGTTATATAATATAATCAGTTATATATATTGTTATATAACTGATTAATGTGGCATAAATTATGATCTACATTTTAATTAGGGATCTTGGATGGGAACTTTTACATTAGATTTCAACTCATAATTTTTTCTTGTCTCCTGAATATACTTTATTTACAGGGTATAAACAAGTGTTTTTTGGTGATTTCACTGCTCTTTATTTATGATATGTGTGAAAGGCTCTTACGACTGTTCTGTCTTACACCAAGGATGACCTGGATGGTATCTGCCAACCCTTTAAGAATGATTTAGACCCAGGTTCACATATTCCAGCTTTCCTTTGTTATGCCCAGGCCAGTGGCAGACTGTTCAGGACATGGGAAGATGGTTGTTTTTTAGCTCTTTACCCCTGTCATTGTCTTAAGGCTGGCACACTTGGAGTTTCACTTTTCCCCATTTTCTTCTGCCTAAAACAAAGGAAAACGTCAATCACTAGGGTTGAGAACTCTGATGAAAACCTAGGTGCAAAAGATTGGCATAGCTTTTGAGGGCCTCTGTTGCCTCTAGCAGTTACTCCTAGCTGCTGGTATTATCCAAACGTATGAGGATTAGAGTGTCAAGGAGTGGGATATGGTACGTAGTGTCTGCTCACCTTTTTTTCTCTAGAGTAATATGAGGGCATATGATTAGCTTACATTGTTTGCTTTGTTAGGTAAAGTCCAACTTATAGTTGTGCCCTTGACCAAAGAGTTGTGCCATATACCCTTACATTGTGCCTGTTAGGTGAGAGCACACTAATCCTCCTCCCTATCCTTCATCCCCTCCCCTCCTTGAGTTTAATTGTGTTTTCTCTTGTGTGGGTGTTTGTTCATCTACTGGTTTCGTATTAAGTACCTTGGATGCTTGCTTTTCCATTCTTGTGATACTTTACTAAGAAGAATGTTCTTCTGCTCCATCCAGGTTAAAGCAAAAGATGTTAAGTCTTTATCTGTTTTTCTGGCTGAATAGTATTCCACAACATCTTTTTTATCCCTGAAATAATAGTATGGCTTTTAAGTGTTCTACCAGCAAATAGCTGTAGGTTACAGGGTTTAATACATCTGAAGGTGATAGTAGTCATCTCTTGTAGCTCAGTGTTGAGATACTTAATTTGACCACTAAAACTCTTGTAAAAGTCTGTTTAAAATTACGCATTGGTATGTTTAAGGAGTTTTATGAATGAAAGAACATCTCTTACGGAGCAGAGTTTAATTTAAAAGCAAGTTATATGTGGCACATCTTACCTTTCTTTTTCATCTTTTATTTTTTGTGTATTCTCTGTTTTGGTGCAACGAGTTCATTTATACAGAGGGACTCTGTTAAATTTTTATTCCTCATATGTAGTGATTCCTGATTATTTTCTAGCTGTTATCTGTTTGCTTTTAATCATAAGACAGTTGTCTATTTTAAATGCCATTTTATCATTGTTATTTTGTTGAAATATGGTAACTGAACAGTTTTTATGCATGTAGCTGATTTTTAAATAAGTGTTGTTTTTTAAATGGTTGATCTTTATTTTTAATATTTCTGAAATATCTTGAGCATGCATCTTTGATTACTTAGGCCACAAGGAATTAATTATTGTATTTTTTGTGTTTTTCATAAAAAAGAATGTTATTCTTTTAAACTTTACAATAGAAATATTAGGTATTTTGAAGTGTAAGTATGCATGGACTTTGAAATATTCTAGACTTGCTACCTATTGCTATTGTTGGTGAGAAATACTTTTTTTTTCTATTTAAATCAAATATTATATGTATTTGATTCAATTTATTTGCTGTGTTAGAAATAAGATGCATACTTTATGGCATTTATTAATACCTTTGGAGTGCTCAAGAATAGTATTCTTGGCTTACTGCCCGTAGCTCAGTGGTTAGGGTGCTGGGCACATACACTGGAGCTGGCGGTTTCCAACCAGCCTGGGACTGCTAAATGACAATGACAGCT